TACTATGTCCTGCTTATCTGATACGGCTTGGTGAAGAAGAACTTATATAACCCAAAGGAGTGTAAACACTATAACGGCCCTATCTGGGAAGAGTTTCCATGAGCAGAGTCTGTCACTGCTGCTCTCTGTTCTCCCCTGTAGTCGTAGCAATAACCTGCTTCTGTCCTGGCCTGCTCTCAATTGCATCCTGGTTATTCTGTAAGACCAAGCAAAGTGCAACTTGCAGATTTTGTAGAGGTGTTGTTCAGTGTGGCACTAAACTCAGGGAAATTTGGATTGAAGAGGCAGTGCATGAAAGCACCATGGTTTAGTCAAATGTATAATTGCTCCCATCTCCCTGCTGTAGGTGGGATCAGCTGTAGGGTCATTCTGTTTTATTTTCGTAAGTGCATTTTTAATGGGAGTTACACTAGCCTTAGGCCTCTCTCTGTCCTCCTGCTAGTATTGATGTGTTTCCTTTAATGCGTTTTTGTCGCTGTAACTTTTCTTGTCCTCCATGCTAGGAGCATGAGGAAATAAGTACAACTCATAAAGGTCTCCTTTTGTAGGCAACACCAACAGACATTTGACTGTGGTGGTAGTCTGTCTCGTTTTAGACTTGTGCTATGGGGTGGCAGTCACCTCACTGTGGGTGTAGTTGGGTGGATCTCACCTGAGTATTAGCCCCTTCCCTTGATCACAAGTTGAATAGCTGAGTGTAATAAGGCATGGTCAGCAGGACAACAAGAACTGTGTGTGGTGAGATTTCGCAGAGACCAAGAATGAACAAGTGACAGGAGAACAGTACCTAAAACTGCTAGAAAGATATACCGTGATATCTCTGGGAACTGACTAAATTGGCAACTTGTGTTGATGTTTGTCTATAAAACCCGTGGTGACAGAGATACGGAGGGAATACTGGTATGCAGACACTTGGAGACACAGAGGACATGAGGTGGAAAGGTTATGTGTTGGTGTCAAGCTGTTACTAGCTCCCCGAAAGCAAGAGGTAAGAGCAGTTGTCTCAACAGTATGGCCCTGCCAGGGTTCATAGTTCTAGTATGCCTTAGGCTGATGGATGCTGGGCTTCTGTGATACGACTCCTGTGCTCTCAGCGAGCCACACCACCAGCAGTAGATGTAACTGCAAGAAATGTCAAACACCTGTAAAGTTTGAGTTACATATTGAAAGTCTGCAGCTGATGTTTGCATAAAAGAAACAGAAAACTGATTTACAGTTAGTACAACGTGAATGAAGAAAGCTGCTTTCAGAAGGTTTAAGATTACTAGGACCTGATGGCCATTAATTATCTTGCATCATACTAGTTTTTATCATTATTTTTTGTGTATACACCTGTGAAGACTTAAGCTATTTTCCACTAATGGTGCATAATGCAAATGAAAGTATAATTGCATCTATATATTGCATGTACTTGCCAGATGATGGTAAGGCAAAAGGGTAGAATAGAGTGGGAGTAGCACAAACTTACCTCTATCAAGAGTTGAGTAAAAGAGTGTAATGAGCCGTGACAGACAGGATAGTGCAGATGAGCGGAGTGGATGAGCCCTGGTACAGACCATGGATTAACAAGTGGTAGAATAATACCTGAACCTGCTGAAAAGACATATCACAATATCGTCTTGGATGGTTCCCACTCTTCCATTAGTACTTCCTCATTACCAAATGTCCTATGCTGTAGATCTATGACTAGCTCCAGGAACATCATCAAAGTAGAGAAAAACATGTTACAAATAAACAGATGGGCTATAGCTTGGAGTACCCCTCTTTCCTCCTGTAGTAAATGGTTAACAGTAAGTTTGTTTCTTTCTTCTTGGTGTGTGGTGAAGGATTTCAACCCAACCTGTGAATTGCTTCCCTCTGGAAGAGGGAAAGTATTAACAGTCATAGTAGAGAATCATAGAATGCTTTGCGTTGGAAGGGACCTTTAGAGGTCATCTAGCCCAACCTCCCTACAGTGAGCAGGGATATCTTCAACTAGACCAGGTTGCTCAGAATGCCGTCCAACCTGGCCTTGAATGTTTCCAGGGATGGGGCCTCCACTGCCTCTCTGGGCAATCTGTTCCAGTGACTCACCACCCTCATTGTAAAAAATTTGTTCCTTATATCTAGTCTAAAACGACCCTCCCTTAGTTTAAAGCAGTTACTCCTTGTCCTATTGCAACAAGCGCTGCTGAAAAGATTTTCCCCATCTCTCCTATAGGCCCCCTTCAGGTACTGAAAGGCTGCTAGAAGGTCTCTCCGCAGCCTTCTCTTCTCTCCTTTCTTTCTTCTCTTCTCCGGGCTGAACAGTCCCAACTCTCAGCCTTTCTTCTCTCCTTTCTTCATAGGAGAGGTGCTTCAGCCCTCGGATCATCTTTGTGGCCCTCCTCTGGACCTGCTCCGATAGTTCCATGTCCTTCCTGTGCTAGGAGCTCCAGAGCTGGATGCAGTACTGCAGGTGGGGTCTCACCAGAGCGGAGTACAGTGGCAGAATCACCTCCCTCGACCTGCTGGCCACACTTCAGCCCAGTATATGGTTGGCTTTCTGGGCTGTGAGTGCACATTGGTGGCTCATGTCCAGCTTTTCATCCACCAGTACCCCCAAGTCCTTCTCAGCAGGTCTGCTCTCAATCCCTTCATCCCCCAGCCTGCGTTGATAGTGGGGATTGCCCCGGCCCAGATGCAGGACCTTTCACTTGGCCTTGTTGAACCTCATGAGGTTCACACAGGCCTATTTCTCAAGCTTGTTCAGGTCCCTCTGGATGGGATCCTGTCCTTCTGGCATGTCAGTTGCACCACTCAGCTTGATGTCTCTGCAAACTTGCTGAGGGTACCTTCAATCTCGCTGTCTAACTCATTGACGAAAATGTTAAACAGCACCAGCCCCAGTATGGACCCCTGAGGGACACCACTTGTCACCGGCAAGTTTTGATTATTGCAGAACTGAAATTTGCAGTGATGTCGGTTTGTCCTTTCCTCCTCTCCACAGCTACAAAACGGGTTGATTGAGATGAGTGAGTCCTAATTTACATACGGATCTGGCATACTCCTCAGCAAATTAGAAACTGACCTGGCTTACAAGTTCTTACAAGGGTGTGTTTCCTCCACTAGCTTTACATCTCTGCTTTAGGAATCCATGTTAGTCACTTTACTCCTAATAGTGAATAGAGAAAGACAGGTGGTGCCACAGGGTGGGTTAATGCTCTAGTTCCTGTCTGATTTTGGTACTTTGAACTTAGCTCCTGATAGTAACCACAGCAGCTAGGAAGCTAGTTACTAGTTGGTTGATGTACTCAGTGAGGTGAAGTGGCCTTCCTTCAGTTGTCCTGACTGTGGGATGGGATAACCCCACCCATAGGTGTAGGCTGGAAGATGACTGTCTGTGGAGCAACTCTGCAGACAGACCTGTGGGCTTCTGGTGGATGACAGCTTGAACACGTCATCAGTGTGCCTCTGTGACAGTGAATATTCACTGCATACCGGGCTACATTCGCAAGAGTGTAGCCAGCCATTCAGAATAGGTGCTAATTTCTTGTTGCTTGGCACTTGAGAGACTGCATCTGGAGAACTGTGTACAGGGTAGCTCCGCCCTCACCCAGGAAAAAAACCCACAGGTGTTATCAAAATGGTGTGAGTCCAAAGAAGGATGAGCAAGTTGATCAGAGAACCAGGACACACGACACGTGAAGAGAAGCAGCGGGAGAAGACACAGTTTAGAGGAGGGATCTAGCTGTACTGTTCATTGTCGGAAGGGGATTTATAGAGAGGTCAGAGCCAGATGTCTCAGAAGTGTACAGTGAAAGGACAAGAGATGTGGGTCATGGCTTAAACAAGTATATCTCCACTGGACACAGAGAAGTAACTTTTCATAATGAAAATGTTGAAGCACAGGGCGGTGCCCAGGGAAGTTCTGGGATGCCCGTGCTTGGAGATATCCACGCTTATATAGAGAAGGTCATGAGCAGCCTTGTCCAGCTTTGAAGTTAGCCTTGCTTTTAACAAGGGATTGGACCTCCAGTGGTCCTTTCCAGTCTCATTTCCTCTGTGGCTTGATTATATTCTTACCATTCTTCAAACTTTCACAAATGCTTTCCCAGAAGGTGTTTGGCAGATTTCAGTACCTAATTGGTCCCTGAGGTTTGACTCAGTAAGGAAATACAAGAATGTATATGCTACCACTATTATAAAAAGGAGCTGAAAAGAGAGGAGATTTATTTGCCGAAAATCAAATATCAAACTAAATGAAGGAGAAACATCAGACTAAGAATCCTTTTCAAAGCATCCTGGATTGTTGTGGATACACTGGTAACTATTCTGACCATTTATTAGAGTTTGGGTGTGATTTTTTTGAGACAGGGAAGCGATGTAGCTTTCATCCATTTCTCTGTGCATTTTGCCTTCTCCTTGTAGCATTGCTGTCTTTCTGTCTGGCCTTTTCTCTGTAAAGTCTTTACCTCTCTCTTTTCTTTTAACTCTAAACTAACTTTTAACTTACTTTTAATCTCCTTTTAACTGCAGTAAGTTTCTCTTTTGCAGTACTGATGTATCCATCAACTAGTCTAATCTGTTTCAGTGTCAGTCTACAGTGTGATTGCATTCCTCTGCAGTACCACTTCTGAATTCATTTCAACTAGTAGATCTTTGGGCACTTAGTCAAAGTACTCACTGTGTGTATTTGGCTTTTTGCTGTATTTGAATCTTGTCAGACCATTCAGAGATTCATTTGTCCTAGGGTCTATAACAGTTTCTGCACGTGCACCTCTCTCAACTATATGAAGAGGGAACTGTATGAATCGTTTTTACTGGAGGGAGGACTCAGTATTGCAAATGGAGTTTAGGACTCCATGTGCATGAACAAGGTTGTTAACGTGGTTATTGTGGCTGCTCCAGTCTTTTACAAAGGGTTCATTACTGGTATTGCCCTTTAAGGTCAGCAAAGCCAAACTGACTTGTGCTTGGTTGTTTTCCAGTAGTTCTCAAAATGAGGCTTTTTTTCTTTTTGTGCTAGCAATGGTGCCTCAATGAACCACACAACAGTGGTGGAATTTGTCCTCTTGGGCGTGACCAACAGCCGCCATTTGGAGATCATCCTCTTTCTGTTTCTTATGGTTGCCTACTTCTTGATCCTGCTTGGAAACATTGCTGTCATCAGCATCACTCTTGTGAATCGTTTCCGTCAGACCCCAATGTACTACTTCCTGAGAAATTTTGCCCTTTTGGAAATTACTTTTACCTCCACAGTCATTCCCAGCACCCTCTACAGCCTTCTGACAGAGAAGAAGAAGATTTCCCTGCCTGGTTGTTTCCTTCAGATGCTGCTTTTCTTTTACTTGGGTACCTGCACATTTTTCCATGTGGCAACAATGTCCTTCGATCGGTATGTTGCCATATGCCACCCTTTGCATTACACAACAATTATGAACAACAGATTTTGCCTCCAGCTGGTCCTGGCTTGCTGGGCAGTGAGTTTTCTCTTGATGTTTCCTCCCACCGTTATGATTGTCCAGTTGCCATTCTGTGGTCCCAATGTCATGAACCACTTTTACTGTGATACTTCCCTGTTGTTGCAACTGTCCTGCACAGACACAGGATTCATTGAAGGACTGATGCTTATCATACTATCTATCATCATAACTAGTACCTTAATAGTAACTGCTGTTTCTTATGGCTGCATTGTTATCACCATCTTGCATATATCATCTTCCACAGGTAGGAAGAAGGCATTTTCCACTTGCTCAGCTCACCTCATGGTGGTGATGATATTTTATAGCACATGTGCTTACAGGTATATCCGCCCAGCACAGCGAGGTGGGCAGGACTCTGACAAAGTTCTTTCTTTCTTCTTCTCTGTGGTGACTCAGATGCTTAACCCATATGTCTACTCACTCAGGAACAGTCAAGTCAAACAAGCCTTAAAGGAGAGCATGCTGAAGGCATTTTCTAGCTCCCTAAGGCAGTTGTGAGTGCTGGAGTAGCCCAAGCCAAGCCCATCCAAGTGACTGAATTGTTTCCCAGCTACAACATCAGCATTGTATAACTGTGAATTAAATTATGCTTTCTACATGTTGTGTAGTTCCTCCTTCTGTTAGCAACCAAAAAATGCAAACACAGAGAGGATCTTCTAGTCCTCCAGTACCTAGACTCAGCTTTGCCTGTGTTTTTTTTCCCCCTTGCAGTGGTGGGTTAGGCTTGGCTGACAACCACATTCTCATCCAGCTGCTCACTCACCCCTTCTACCCCATAGTGGGACAGAGCAGAGGCAGGACAGCTGCAGAAGAAGGGCAAAGTGGCTGATCGCCTCTGGGTCTGTCTCAGAGCTGACTCTTCAGGAAGCCAGAACTGACCTAACAGGAACAATAAACAGCAACCTGTCTGCAGAAACTGAGGACGTGCACAAAGGCCACTGAATTTAGAGGAGATGAAAGGCCAGCTCGCAGGTTGTGGGGTGTTAGCAGGAAAACCACCAGTGAAGACCCCACCATCCAATAAACTGCTTTGCAGGCATAGCAATCCTGACCAAAGGCCACTGCATGTCGAGGAGTTAGAGCTGCACGTAACAGTTCACCTGGTGAGGCTCAGGCCTGGGCCGGGCTGCACTGTGCCAAGCTGTTCTGTTCCATGCTGTGCCAGTCTGGTCGTTCCGGTCTGGTCCGTGCCCTCCCACGCTGCGCCATGGGCAGAACAAGGCCACAGGCTGGGTGGTGCCGCACGAGTGTCCCGGCCACAGCACAACCTCTTCAGCGCCTTGTAACGGAGGAGCCTGCAGGCAGCGCGCAGCGACCATGGCTACGTGGCTAAGTTTTTGATAGGTATCCATCACCAGTTGTCAGTTAATCGTATCACACCTATATTGTAGACACATGCTGGCAAATTTAAACAAACATAACTGACATAAACGCACCTGCTGTTGTTGTGATTACCATAATCACATGCTACAGTCTGTGTAAGGTGTACCACATCTCTGCGCATATAATTCTTACAGTCACAGTTTCTTTCCTCCCTGGCTAATACTGCTTTACATTTTCCTCCCCAATAACCAATGAAAACATACAACTGATGTCCCATCATACTGGCTGCTCTTTCTCCTGTTGGTAGAAGAGTTGGCACTGCAGGTATGGAGCACCTCTGAGTTTTCAGCTGTGGTTTTGGGGCTCTGTGCTCAGTGTTGCTACTAAGAGGCTGAGTGAACAGAGGGTGGAGTGGGAAAGGAGCATCATCTAGTGCATGCTTATGGTAAATACCCATCATGAGCCTGAGTGTGTGCTCAGGGAAAGTCTGTTCTCGAGGAAAAGAACTCTCTGCCCAGACTGCATCCTAGGGTTTTCCCAACATTGTGGATAAGCACAGTGATGTCCCTGCTGATTTTCTCCCTGTGACTTTTGAGCCTTCACAGGGAGATGGCAATGCTGAAGGAAAGCACCTAGATGGTCCACAGAAGTCCTGCGATGGACAGGCTGCTCAAAAAAAGCTGATGCACCCAAACTCCAATACACCTTTCTCCTGGGCTGGGATGAATTGTGTCTGGAGATTCTGATGACAAGTGCAATTAGGAGAGGTTTCCCTACTGAACAGTGTGAATGAAAAGTTTCCAAATCTCCTGGGAAAACAGATGAGAGTTAAGTATTAAAAATCTGAAGGAGTGAGATGAAAACCCAGGTTACAGACAGAGGGAGTGTTTTATGGAGCAGCCCAGTGGGAGATGAAGTAAGAAGTGTTGACCACCTTGACCTACGCACTTCCCAATCTTCTCCAGCATTTCAGAGGAGGTATGTAAGTGTCCCAGGGCTAGGACCAACACTGCAACAGCACAGCTGTAACTATAACAACAGCCATAACCATGCTCTCTAGAATTTCAGAAAACGTAAGCAGGAGAAAGACATTCAGGAAAGGGCAGAACTAAACCACACATCTTTGCCTCTCATTTTCACTAGGTAAAGACCCACTGATGAAATCAGAACATCCCAGATGTGCCTCAGCAAACATGGCACTTTCCTGTAATCTTCAGCATAAAGTGATTACCTTTCGTGTGATAATGCCTGGGAAGGAAGACTCAGGTCTGGGTGTCACCTGTTCTGCCCCAAGTTTCTTTCCTCCCTGTTGTCTCTGAAAACCCTTCTCTCACAGGAAGGCAACAAAAAGTTCAGCTCTTTCACTCTTCCTTCCAGAGAGGGAGCTCTAGGCCTGAAGCACCTGAATGCAATTTCTTAGCATTACGGAAATAATCAGTGTCCTGGAGGGAGTCTCCCTTGGGATTTCAGGGAAGGAGCACTGTGTAAGAGAATCCCTGTGAATATGAAAGTTCTGAGCTGGTGCAAAGTGTTTCAACGCCTCAGGCAATGGCTGTCCCTCTCCAGACCTCCAAAGCATTTCAGACTGTTCTGAGAAAAAGAGAAACTGAGATGGGGCAATACACACAGGCTTTTCCAGACTGATGCAGCAGAGCCCAGTGAGGGTCCAGAAGGAGGACTCAGCTCAGATCCTGCAGAAGACTATAATGGGGTTGACTCCTTCAGAATTAGGCAGCCATGAGTGACTGAGGTTGCCTTTTCAGCCTCTGCCAATCATTTTATTGCTCAAGTGAATACCTTGTATACTAACGCTATATACTGTACGGGTAACAGCAGATGAGGAGAAAGCTGAGGTACTCAACAACTTTTTTTGCCTCAGTCTTCACTGGCGACCATTTTCCCAAAGCCAAAATTGGGAAGGGCAGCCACTGGGGAATGTGATGATTCCTTCCCACTCCCAACTCCGCCCAGACCAAACATACTGGAGACTCTGAACTGGAAATTTTACCTTGAGGAGTTCACCGTGATACAGGTACAGCTCAACTAATAGAAGACATAAGTAGAGGGAATTCATCTGTAATGCTAGACTTCAGCTGGTAGCTGCAGTGGTATCCCAGCATGGTAGGTGAATTTAGGCTAAGCTTTCTGGCCCTCTTTAGCTCTGCAGATGCTGTCGGTCTGTAGCACAAGGCATGTATTGAGCTCAGAGCCTGAAGACACTTGGCTTCACGCTGCTCCCAAGGAGGCTGTTGGCTTCCTCCAGGCACTTGTCCAGCTGGGACACTGCAGTCAGGGAGAGACGGGGACACTCGGGGAGTCAGGCAGGAGGGAGAGTCCACAGATGGGAAGGAGAAAGGGGACACAGCACTCTTTCATCTGCCTGCAGGAAATTGTGGTCCTGCGGAGGGGTGAGGCAGGTCCCACTGGAGACAGAAGGGAGGAGGCTGTGCTGTGGGGATCAG